AGCGCTGCCCGCCCGGCGAAGCACCGCGCCGGGGGCGGGGGGAACACCCATCGCCATCGCCGGCCCCGCGCCCACCTCGGCCGGGCAGGCGGCTCCGCGCCCGCTCCACCGGCCCCGCTCGGGGGGGCTGCGCCCGGGGACATCCCCCACTGCCGCACCCGGCGGCGGGTACCGGGGGCTGCGGGAGCTGCGCTCTCCGCCAGCGCTGCCCGTCCAGCTCTGCTCGGGCGTGGAGCGAACGCCCGCCCCGCCGCCTCCTCCTTCTCCATCCTCCTCCCCCCGGTGCGGAGCGAGCGCCGCTCCCGGTGCGGGCGCTGGTGCCCCGGCGCGGGGTCGGGTGTATGTGTGTGTGTGTGCGCGGGGCTCCCCCCGCACCGCGCCGTTCCGCCCCGTGCCGCCCGGTACTACCGGCCCCTCCCGGTCGGTTACCCCCCTTTGCCCGTTCCCCCTCCGGACTCGGCCGGCTCCGCGCAGCCCCCCCCGCGCGGGCAGGGCTGGCGCGCGGCACGCCGGGAGCCGCAGTCCCCGGGGCGCGGGGCGGGCGGGCGGCAGCGGCCACCGGACTACAGCTCCCGGCAGCCGCCGCGGCCGCTGCTCGCTCTCGCCCTCACACTCCGGCTGCCGCTGCCAGTGTCTCCGCCGCCGCCGAACCGCCGCTCGCAGCGCCCAGTGTCCGACCCGCCGCCTCCGGGCAGGGGCCCGCCTCGGCCCGCCGCCGCCCCCCCCCGCCGCCCGCCCGGCTCGGGAAGCAGGTGCGTGCCCGACACCCCCCCCGCGCCGCGCCGCCCCGCACCGGACGCCCCGGCCCCCTCTGCCCGGGCACCCCGGGCCCGCGCGGCCCCGCACCCACCGCCGAGGGGGTGAGGGGGGGGTGGACGGGAGCGGGCGGCCCGAGCCATCCTCTCCCCGCCCGGTTGGACGGGGTCTCCATGGAAACGGTCCCGGGACACCCCCGGGGGGGGGGGCGCCGGGGGGGGGGGGGGGGGGGGGAGTTGGCGATGGTGGGAGGTGGACAACGTCCTGCGGCGGGACAGCGGCGGGGACGGCGGGTGCTGACAGCGCCGGGCCGGGGGCAGCGGGCAACGGGCGTTGTGCTCCGCTCTCTGCCCCGCGACGGCGCGGCGCGCTGCTGCCCTGCCTCGCGCGGCGGCACCGGCACCGGCGACACCTGCCGCTCCCGGGGCGGCGCGGGGGTCCCGGTCGGCAGGGCGGGGCGGGACGGCCGGCGGGGCGCAGCGCTCCCGGGGCGGCGGTCGACAGCGGCGGGACGGCGGCGCCGGGCGCTCGCGGAGTTTAGCAGCGTGGCCCGAGCCCGTCGCCGGCGGCCGCCCTGCCCGGGGCCGAGTCGCCCCGGCAGCAGCGCCGGGAGCCGGCCGGGCGGGCGCCGGGCAATGGCGGAAGAGCCCTCCCTGGGGGCAGCGCGGCCGCCGCCACCTCCATGTTCGGGGCTGCCCCGGTGCGGCAGCGCGGGGAGGTGGGGCCCGGCCGCGGGTACCGGGGCCGCGGGGCGAGAGGCGGCCTCGCGCTCCCGTGTGGAGCGGCCCCGGGGGCTGCCGTTGAGGCGGAGCGGACACCGGGGGCTGCGGGGGGCCGGCGCGGGGCAGTGCCGCGGGGCCTGGCCCACGGAGCGGCCGTGGGGTCCGGCGTGTCGCGGGGCGGGGCGGGGGGGGCCTCCGTTAGCGGCGCGGGCTGTGCCGCGGCCTCGCGGGGCTCGGGAGGGACCAGCCCCGCGGCCTCGGGCAGGGCTCGGGCCGGCCCCGCGCCGCCGCCCCCCGAGCCCGCGGCAGCCGTATCGGGCCCCGTAGTGCCCGTGGTGATGGCCAGGCAGCGGCGGGACCGGGCAGGAGGAGGCGCTTCCTGCCGCCCGTAACGGAGAGGAAACCAAAACTCCTTCGACGGAGTGTCGGTGTTCAGCAGGGTCGGTGCAGCTTCTCGGCGAGCAGCGTCGCTCCCTTCCCCCGGCGCGGGTGCTGCCAGCTCAGAACAGCTCCTTGAGAAGCTCTTCCAGGCTGACATAGCGATGGAGAAAGTCTCTCCTCCCGGCAGAGCATCTGCTCCCCAGCATCCTCATCAGCAGCAGCTGAGTCAGGGGGGATCCCTGCGAGGAAGGGCTGGTGCACCCCACTCCCTTTGCTGCTTGTCACGTCTTTTTTGACCATGTCTGCACCAGCCTTTCCTTCCCCGTTGCATTCCTCGTTGCCATCACCAGCCTTTGGGGCTCACCGGTTGGGTACCTGCTGGCGGGTGCTGGTGTCTCCCAAGGCACCACTTCATCGCCATCGCCTGGGTCTGGAGCTGTGCCCTGGGTGGGCTCCGAAGACTGGCTCTGGCACGATGGCCTCCAGAACGAAGCTGCCCCTGGCAGTGCTGGGCTCTGGCGTGCCGGCCCAGCACCAGGGACAGGCGGCTGCTCTCCCGTCGCGGTATTTCTGGTGACACGTGCCGTGTCAGACACATTTTTTACACTGTCCTCCCTCGGTGGCTCTTTTTTCCAGTCCTTAAATGCACAGCAGTGGCCTTTTGTGAGGACAGCCCCGGTGTTGTGAGCGAGGGAGTGCTCAGTGCTGGTTGCCGGCAGCAGGGATGAGTGACCAAAGGACTAGCAAATGAGTGGCAAACTTTTCTTTGTTTCATTTCAAACGGGGATGGATTTTCTCTTTTTTATTTCCAATTTGTCGCGCTGAGTATCTGTAATTACTTGCGGTGTTGCTGTGTCTTTAAATGAGCTTAAGCAAATGCGTGGAGGCAAAGCCTGGCTCAGCTTGGCAGTGGTCAGGGCTGCTGGGGGGACCCATCTGAGCTGGGGGGACCTAAATTGAGCTGGGGTGGTCGTGGGAGACTTGGTTGGACCCGGCACCTCCCTGCTGACACAGGCCACGGTGGTGGCCTGGGCAGGCCCTGCAGGGATTTGTGCCACCCTGGTTGTTCCCAGTTGGTACCAGTGCTGCTGTTGACCCCTTCAAGAGCAGTAACGTGATACAAGACAGATAAAACTGTTCCCTTTTCATTTCAGTTTTCTTGTTCTGATTTTCCCCTGGCAGTGCATTGTGCCCGCTGTGAGTCCTGTGAGGGGACCGTCACCATGTTTTAGTATATTTTTTTATTTAATTCAGATATTTTTGCCAGCACTTTGCTCTGAAGGGTTTCCCAAAGTGATGCTCAGAGCTGAAAAGGCACCTGAGGTGACTCTGGTGGCTGGTGCTCGCTCTGGACCTCTGGAACTTAAATGGGTACCCGACAGTCACACGTAAAACCAACTATAATTTCTTGCCTGTGTTACTAATGGCAACGAAGGCTGCCAAAGAGAGTGGAGCGCTGTGGGTGATGGCCCGTTCCTGGCGGTGCAGCCGGTTCCTCCTGCCGCCCTGCGCTGCTGCACTGAGCGATGCGCTCCGAGCTCCGAGTCCTGCTTGGAGTTCCCAGCAGAGAAACCCCGTTTGATATTCCATTGCTATCTGGGGGAAAACCAAACCCAAGCCAACAGCCTTCGAGGCTTCAGTGCTCTCTGGGCATGAATGTGGCAAAGGTGTCTCCCGTGAGTGTGTTTTCAGGGTCAAAGTGCATCCGTCCCTCCCCGGCCTTCACTTGCACAGTGGGAGGGGACCCGCTGCAGCCTCCCCATCTGCTGCTGCATGGGGTCCACTGGGCTTTCTGCTTCTCCAAGCCCTAAGGTGGAAAACCTCCTCCTCCCTCTGTGCCGCTGTCACACTTAACTGCCAGTGTCCAGAAAGGCCTTGGAGCTCTGTCGAGCTGTACTGAGTTCCTACCAATGCTCTTGGGGTGATATTCCTGCCTGGAGCCCAGGCGGGGGGAAGCCTTGCGCTGGGGGGTTATAGGAGACTGGCTGCTGGCATTTCAGCACCTGGCATCTCGTGCCTGCCCAGGCAGGGTGCACCTGAAATAGTGGCAACCGCTCGGTGCATTACTCATGTGCCAGTGCTGGGATGGGGGAGAGGAAGGTAAGCGGCTTGAAATTGATGTAATTTAGTACAGAGCAGGGAAATACATGGAAAGCTTCTTGCAGGTGGGGGGGTGTGTCAAGGCAGTGTGGTCCTGAACACAAGAAGAGGAAAAAGGCCCCTTCCTGTACCATGGGTTCACCCCAGCTGTCCTGGAGGTGGACGGCTGCAGGAGATCCTGGCTCTGTTTGACCTGACCAGAGCAGTATGGTTAGACCAGGTGGCAACAGAGATGTGACATCTGTCATGCAAACATGACAGCACCAAACCCTCTGGTGAAAACCAACTCCTTGCTACCTATGGCTGGAAGTTTGGAAGCAGCCCAGAGAAGCTGCTGGTGCAAGCACTTGAGAAGCTGATTGTTGAGTTCAGTCAGGGAGCTTGATCTGGCTGAGGGACTGCTGTTATTTGCCAGGGGGAGTAGTTTGCAAAATCCACTTTGCAATTCCTGCTGCGTTAATGCTGGGCTGGGAGATGGAGAGCAAGGGGCAGCATGGCAATGGAAAACTTGCTTTGGAAGCCTCACCTTGGGCAGCTCCAGTTCCGATCACTGAGAGGGTGCGGGCAGGGTTTTAGCAGGGGTCAGCATGGAGATTGTGTGGGCTTGGTTCTCTTCGGTAATGTGGGAGTGGGTGGGTGAAGGCAGCAGCAGCCTGTCCTGCCACCCTCAGCCTGGGCTGAAGAGATGGTTATCTTGATGCTGTTGGGATTTTGGTGAAAGGGGGATTTGTGTGGTGATAACTATTAGAAAATACCCATGCCTGAAGAGCTTTGTCTCAGGAAACTCACTTCTGCTGGCTGCACAATGGTATTTCAGAAGGGATAGTAATTGCTTGACTCAATTCCACGTGTAGCTAAGTCATGGCTAACCTGAGTACAAGCTTGCTTTTACTACAAGGACAACATCTGCTTTTTCTGGAGCCTGGAAGAGACTGGTTTGCAAAGGAGCAGCCTCTCTTTTTGCGAAATGATGAGAGGTTTTAATGAACATGGGTTGTTCATTGAACAAATCCCCCTTGGTTTTAATTTCAGGAGGGAATTTGTTTCACTGAACATCCCTTTGAGGGTTTGCTGTTGGAGGTGGACACATTCAGCACCTTTCTGTTTGCAGTTCTTAGAGCATCTTTTTGGGGGTGAAGGTGCTTTAATATCACACCATGAGCCCAAAGTGCAGCGCTCATCTTCTGACTTCATTCTAAACCGGTTTTCTTCAGAGTTACTTAGAATTGGCTGGGCATCTATTTAGCTAAATCAAAATAAGACTGTGGTTTCATGTACACTTCCTTTGACAGATGTGATGGGTTAAGCAGGTTCTGTGCCAGGCTGTGCTCTCTGTCCCTCTTGGTGAACCTGATCTAGGAGCTAGTAGGGGTTAGAACCAGGCCAGGGGGGAGCCCACAAGGGTTTTAAACTGAGATCAACTCCCTGATCAAGTTTACCAGGACCCTGCATAGTTTCAGTGACGTGATTGAAGGGGTGAAGGAAGAGAAGGGCTTCAACAGCTCCTTCTGCTCAAAGACAGGCATGTGAAGCCAAGCTCTAGCTGTGTTCTCCAAGGGGTTCCTACTCGTTTCATTACATCCGTTTAAAGTCGCTTCAAGCAGCACAAGTGTAGACAGGAGATGTGCTCTGTTTCCTCATGTCGACTTGACAGAAAGCATGTTCTGACCAGGGGAGGCTGCAGTTGCTCTTTCTGGTTCGGCGTTGCGCTGGGAGGCTGCTGCTCTTCCCATGTTTCTCAATAAACCTCCTGGCCTACCTCCTTAAGGATGCTGTTCTTTCAGTCTTTGTGCAGGTTTGTGCTTGAGACCACAGCTATGGTTTTGCCCCCGTTTTATTCCTTCTTGTAGGTGAAATCTTGATTCTTTTTCTCTTCTGTTCTTCGTTCCCTGTGAAATGCCTGTCTTTGGCACGTGTCCCATGTCGTCTGTAGCGGACAGAGGCCAAGAATTCATGAAACGGTGTCTATCTCTGTTGCTGTGTCCTCCCGGCTCCCTTCTCATGGCCATCATGCCTCCTCTGTTGACCAGCTTTTACTCAAGTACTCTAAATATGCTGCTTCTCCCAGCTTCTCGTACCACCTTCTTATCACTTTTCCCTCGCCAGACCTATTCTCGGGTCACGCCTGGTCTGTTCAAGGCTTCAGCTCGTCTCCAACTCCCGTTCCACATGGTGTAGCCGTATGTGTCCCCTTCCCTGTTGCACAAAAAAGATCCCTTTTGGTTTCCCCCCAAACATCTGTCCTGTCACTATGCTCGAGGGCAGGACCTTTCTCCTCCCTTTCTTTCAGTTTAGCCTAAGATGGTGAAATCCCCGCAGATTGTTTGTTCCCCTATTTCCTTTATGTTGCATTTCTCTCCAAGCATTGCAAAACTCCTCCCCTTCCTGCTCCAAGCCACCTCGCATTCTCTTTGGGTATGACCCTGCTCTCTGTCTCACCGCCCGCCCGGCTCCCCCTTCACTGCAGAGCATTGCTTCCAAACCCGTGTCCTTTAGCAGGTTTCCCCCGCTTCTCCTGACCTCTGGCTGCCGCGCTCTGTTTGCTCACTTGTGCCCTCATACGTGCAGATGGCTCTGTCGCTGCTTTTTTGCAAACAGGCTGCCTCACCCCATTTTTTCCTACGTGCCCGGCACTTCTTTCTGCCTGAGGATCCCCACAGGCACGTTTGGGCTGAGGTGAGGGCACCCGGCAGCGGCTGCATGCAGTTCCGCGGCTGGACCCCTCGAGCTGCTGACCGGTAGATTCCTGCGTGGCTCGTTTCCGCATAAACGGAAGGTGCAAGCTGCTTCTTGTCCCGTTCAGAGCTCGTGTCGCCAGGAGTTTGTCAGGGAACAGCCAGCCGATGGAGATTTAGGATCACGTGTCACTTTCAGCTTCTTCCCACTCTCGCTTGCTGCACCGAGCAGTGCAGGGGCTCCGTGCCTGCTTTACCTTCAGGTGCTCCGTGCTTCTCCGAACCGAGAGCCTCTTTGGCAGCATCTCTGCCGTTTGCAGTCAGCGCCGCTTGGTTCAACCGGGTCCACTTGTTAGCGCAGAGGATCCTCTCTTCCTCCGCTGCTTTTTCCCTGACAGGAGTGGAGCAGCAAAGCTGCCTTAGTGCTGGAACACCCAGCGCAGCAGGATTGGCTGCAGCGCTCCCTCAAAAGCTCCACCCAGCCGACGGTGCGTCTTGGATGCTCGCAAATCCCTGGATTTCCTCATGTTTTCCTTCCGTACTTCTGCTGAATACCAGCACCTTCCTGGCCGAGGGAGGGGGTAATCCCTTGTCAGCACTGTCTGAGGGCACTGCTGGCAAGCCTCTGCTCCTCTCCCGGGTCCCCCAGTTGCCTCATGTGAGGTTTTTCCTCCTTGAACCTGCCATGTGCTGGCTTGTGAAAGTCATATGGGGCCTTGGGGGATGGCAGCGTTTTAACAGACCCTCTTCTTGGGTAAAAGTCTGACTTGTGGCTTGTTCCCCAGTGCTGAGTGTTCCTCTGGAGGGAGAAGAAAGGCGAGGGTGAGGGATGCACGTGTGTGTGAAGACATCGGTGTGAAACTCTCAGGGTAGCCAGAGGCTTTTTGGCAGTAATGCTGTAACACGAGTGGGCTGCGGATGCTGCCTGGGGCACTGCTGGTTGCTTCTAGCCCTCTTCCAGACAGAAGTGTAGCATCTTGGGCACTGCACCTGTCTGCCCAGTAGCGGAGCTGGGGATGCTGCTCTGTGAAGCGCGGTTGAACAGGAGCATCCCTGGGAGAGTTCCCAACCCTCTGGTTTTCTTTTGCAGGCAGAGCGGCTTCTCGAGCCCCAGCAGCCCTGGTCAGTGACGAGCAGCTGTCATGATCTCTACAGCACCTCTCTATAGTGGGGTGCACAACTGGACCAGCACAGAGCGGATTCGCATGTGTGGCCTCAACGAGGAGAGGTGAGGTGCGTCGGCAGCGTAGTGGGAAGGAGGAAGGGAAAAGTGCCTTGGAATTGGAGAGGCTGTAGGAAGGGAGCTGGTGCTGGCGCATCCTGTGCTTCCTGGGGTGTGACACAGACTGAGGTGTGCAAGAGAACGGGGGGGATGGGTCTGTGATCAGATGGTATGTGATGGTCCCCAAAGCCATTGTGCTCCATCGAGGAGGGCCCACAAGCAGAGCGTGTAGCTGCATTGCCTCTGCTGTGTGGCTTGAGGATGAGCCTGCACGTGCTATTTGCTTCACCACACCTGTGCTCTGAACTCCTGGGGCGGGGGGGGGGGAAGCTTGACCCACTGCAAACCAAGCCACTCAGAAGAGGTTTTGGTGACACGGGAAGGTTAGTGCAGACCAAATGATCAGATGAGAGAGCTGTGACATGCCACCAAATATGAGATTAGGGAGGATTAGTGGCTGGGAAGCAGAATCGACCAAGGCAAGTTCCTGGCCTGCCCTGTGGCTTTGCATCCCCTGATGACTCTGGGGTTGTCAGTTCTCAAAACTGATCAGTTTGGGGCTTCCGTGGGGCTTTCACATGTTCAGTGCGTTTGCCAGAGCCTGGGAAGCTTTATGGGCTCAGAGGCAGCATGTGCCTGCCACTGCTCGCTGCGGGCGTTTTGAACTCTGGGGGTGAATGCTGCGAGGGCCGGTCAGAGGAGCCGTGGGACGAGCTCAGCCCCGCTGGAGGCAGGGACATGGCAGAGATCATCTGCAGCCCTCAGCAGCGCCTGGCCCGCCGTGTGTCCCGCAGATAAGAGCTGGCAACGGTGCTGCCCTCCTCTGCCTCTCCTGAGCCACTCGCAGCCACTCCTAGTTTGCAATAGACATGGAAGTTTGGGGTGTCTGCGCAAGCAAGAGAGGACAACCGGGCTGGCTGCGGCTGGGCGCTCTCCCTCGGCTGGCACCGGGTGGCTGTGGAGCATCCCCGGCGGGGACCGGGCCAGTCGCTGACAGGGTCTGGGGCCAGTGGCGGCGGGGCAGGTCCGGCCCCGGCGGCCTTGGAGGTAACGGAGGACAGGAGGAGGTGGGGCAGTGCCCGGCGCTGTGCCCGGGACCTGCCCGTACCCGCGCCGGGGCTGTGCCCGTTCCGGTCTGTGCCGGGGCTGTACCCCGGGGCCGGGCCGTTCCCGTGCCGTTCCCGTTCCAGTCCGGGCCGGGCACGGCCCCGCTGTCCAGCTCCTGCCGTTCGCCGGCAGAGCCGCGGGCAGCCAGCTGCGCTCGGGCGCCCCCTGGCGTCCGGCCGCCGCCCTGCCCGCCCGTGTGGACTCGGACTCGGCCCCGGCCCCCCTCGGCCAGCTCCGCTGCTCCGGAACCGGGCTGCGACCGTGGGCTGACTGCGCGACCCCGCTCCCCGCGTCCCCCTCTTCCCTCCAGGCCCCTCTCACTCCGGCGGGGTGGCCCCTGTCCCGGCTTAGGGCTGGGCCCTAAGCTCCCCGAGCCCCCGAGCTGCGCAGAAGCGGCCGGGCCTGGGCATTTCCATCCCCGCGGCGGCCGGACCTGCCCGGGCTAACGGCAGCCTCCGGCTGGTGCCGTCTGACCGCGGCCGGGCTCGAGGGCTCTGCGGGAGCGGTGCTGCGAGGCCCGGTGCCGGCGTGCGGCAGCCCCGGGTCGCACCGTGTGTGGTACTTCGCTGTGAGAGCCGGGCAGGGCTGGGACCGGGTCGTGTCCTCGGCAGAAGCTGAACTCGAGCTCTTCTACCCCGGCCTCAGCAGCTTGTCTGAATGACCCTTAAAGAACAGCAAACGGCCGTTGGGTAAATACTGCTGGGGCAGGCATGGAGCGCCCCATCCCCTGTCCCCGCGGATCCTGAGCTGTGTCCTCAATGCACCCTGCTTCAGTGAGGCTCACATCCCTGAACCCAAATCCAGTCTTTCCACTCAGGAACAGCTTTCCAAAGGGAAAGGGTCAAACGCCCAGGGCATGGGGCTGGGGGGGGGGAGGGAATGAGATGAGAAGCTGCCTGTGGAAGAAGAGACAAGCAGGATGGGGGTCAGGAGCATGGCACTGGAAACATGTGGTGGAGCAGAATGGGAAGCGGAGGGTGAGGAGTGGGTGTGGGCTCAGGCTGTGAGGCAGCGTATTGAGGACAGCTGGAGGGCCAAAATGCTGTGGCTGAGGAAGATGTGTAGAGCTGCTGGGCCATGGAGAAAGGCTTGTCCAGGCTGCAGGAGCCATAGGGAGAGCCGTTATGTGTGAGGAGGTGTGATCCAGGCGGCATTGCTCCGGGAGCGGGAGGACATGGCAGTACTCCTCACCCCCTTGGTCTGCAGCGGCTAGTACCCACTGTGTCTTGTGTGATGAGGAGGAGCTACCTGGAGCAGCCACGCTTCCTTAGGCTGCCAGCTCCGCTGCTGTCCCGCGCTGGGGTGCTGGGAGGGTGTTTTGTAATCCTCTGTCTTCTTCCTTGGCCAGGAGAGCCCCCCTTTCTGATGAGGAGTCTAAAACGAGCAGCTCCCAGCACTTGAGGTCTCAGGAGTTTTGTGTCAGCAGCAGCCTTTCCGAGGTGAGCTCCTTGTGTGCTTGTGTGGGGCTGAGAAGGCCTTTCCCTGATGGAACCGGCCAAGAAAGAGCATCTACTCTAATGGGTCCCATAGCCTCCCCCTCGAGAGGGGTGCAGCAAGGGGAAGCAAACAAAGCTGTTTGCCACTTCTGTCTTTGTGTCTGGGTGGGGGTTAGGGAGAAGGTCCTGCCTGCTTCACTAGGATTCACTTGCACAGCCCTACGGACACCTTCTCCCTTCTTGTTGCAGGTGGAGCTCACGGCAGTCAGTGGTGGTGGCAGCAGTGCCCAGGGCCTGGACACTGATGGCAAGGTGGAGGAAAAGTTTGGGCCCAAACTGGAAGAGCAGCCACCTGATCCCAACCCAAACCCGGAGGGAGTGGAAAAGACTGTAAAAGATGATGCCCTGGGCCCTCTGGCAAGCCAGGGGAATGGCAGAGGGCAGGAGCCTGCAATCCCGAGGGCTGCAGAGCAGGAGAGTAGCGGTGCTGATGCTGCCTGGACACCTGCAGATCCTCACAGCGCCAAGCAGGCTGATGCTGCTCCAGCCTGCTCCGTGGCACCAGAGAGCGAGCCTTCTGGGAAGGAGAAAATCACCCCAAGCAATGGAGCACAAGAGCCAGGTGTGCTGGCAGAAGGGACGTTTCCTGTGGTTGTCTCCAGCTGCAACACCTCTGCCTCCACTCCTACAACTTTTACTTTGAACAGAGTGTGCTTTCCCACATCTCAGGCCCCTGCTATGCAAAAGCTGCCCCTGTCCTTTCAGGCTGGGGCAGTTCTGAGCCCAACCCAGTCACTGGTGTACATCCCACCGCCCAGCTGTGGGCAGCCACTTAGTGTGGCCACGCTTCCAGCCACCTTGGGGGTCTCCTCCACACTCACCCTCCCTGTCCTGCCTTCCTACCTACACGATCGCTGCCTGCCGGGCATTATCGCTTCCCCAGAGCTGCGCTCCTACCCCTGCACATTCTCCGTCACCAGACCCTTGGCTTCAGATGCAAAAGTGGTGTCCGTGGAGGTGAATCAGCTGAGCTGCCCGTTGCCCTCAGGAGGAAGTGGTCCCCAGGCTGCTTCTGAGGGCACTCCCCCGTCCACCACCGGCCCTTCACCCTCGTCCAGCCAGCCCTCACTGGCAGCCCCGTGTGCGAGTGCTGCTCCGTCTTCCAGCACTGGTGCATACACCAGAGCCCCAGCAGCTCCTGAGCCGCCCGCACCGGGGGCTGCCACATCGCTCTCTCCTCTGAAGTCCCCTCCGCAGCTGGAGCGTGAGATGGTCTCGTCTCCGGAGTGCAGTGAGATGCCTCTCGATCTCTCCTCCAAGTCCAATCGTCAGAAGCTGCCTCCACCCAGCCAACGCAAAACACCTCCTATGCCCATCCTCACACCTGTGCACACCAGCGGCAAAGCCCTTCTCACCACGGTCCTGTCCAAGTCCCAGCGTGCGGCCCAGAGCACGGGCAGCAGCGTCACCTCGTGTCTCGGCACCACCCCTCCCTTAGTCATCTTCCCCGAGTTCTTGCGCAATGGTGAGCAGGGCTCCTGGGTGAAGAACACTGCACTTATCAGCGCCATTCCAGGCACCTATGTTGGCGTTGCCAGCCCGGTGCCTGCCTCACTGCTGCTCAGCAAGGACCCCGCTGTGAGCTTCAGCAGGGACCCGCGCCACCTTCCCAAGCAGGAGCCTATTTCCGTCATTGATCAGGGAGAGCCTCGCAGTGCTGGGATTCCCTGTGGAAAGAAAGCCAACCAGACCAGCACAGAAGGACAGCAGGATCCTGCCAGGAGAGTTCTTCATGGCAGAGTTACTCCGGGAGCTCCTTTGTGTCAGTCCAAGGACATCTCCAATTGGAATCCTGGCCAGGGAAGTGTGTACCCACGATGTCCCATGAATGGAAAACCTTCCAATCCTCAGCTTCTGCCCCTTGGCTTGTCTCCTTATCATCAAACCCCTCTGCTTTCCATTGGCATCTCCACAGCCGGGCAGCTGCCCCCAGGCCAGAATAGCTCTTGCAAGCCAGCAGGTGCAGGTGAGCTCCCAACGTTCCCGAGCGTGCAGCCCACAGAGTCCAGTGCAGCCGCCCAGAGCCTGCCAGAGGGACTTCCCAGGCTCCCACCTCAGGAACGGGAAGCTGGAGCCAAGAGCAAGAGCTGCCGGTCCTTGCCCAAGCTCTACGAGCAGCCGGTTAACCCGGTCTTGTTGGATGCAGGTCCATCTCCTCAGACCAGTGCATTGGATGTGAAAGGGGAGAAGGGGAAGCTGGACAACCCTCAGAAGAGTCAGGAGAGTGATCCACCGAAGCCTGACTCCAGTAAGGAGGGCAATGTACAGAACGTAGAGACTGAGTCTCCTCCCCAAGGGAGCTGTAGCCTCAAGCAGTTGGATGGAAAACCTAAAGCCCAAGTGTTAGCAGCGTATTTATCACATGAGGTGCCGACAGCGGAGCAGCAGAGCCTGCGAGTGAGTTCAGAGGTGCCTTCTGTGCCTGCAGAGAGTCAGTGCAAGGAGCTGGGCTGCGAAGGCTCCCAGGAGCCCCCCGCTGCAGAGCCCCCTCAGTGTGTGCGTCAGGTGGATCTGTGCAGGGTCAAGAAGGAGCGAGTGGAGTGTGACCTGTCATTCACTCCTGTGACTTGCCTGCGAGCTGGGACTGCTCCCCAAGCCTTTGCCGAGGTCAAACTCAAAGGAGCAGGCCAAATCAAGCAAGAGGGCAGCATGCGCTGCAAGTCCAAGCGGCAGCATGGTGGGGACACCAGGCAGGCCCACAAGAGACTAAAGTGCCAAGGCCAGGAGAGCGAGGAGGCCCCTGGGAAGTCGGGGAGCTGGAGCGTGCATGGCCGGAAGGTGTGTTGATGGGCCGGGGCTGCTGGGTTATGGCAGAGGTTGGCAGGTGGGGCTTGGGGCAAGGAGGGAGCTCTCACGGGGGAGGGCTAGTTGAGTGCACAGCACTTTCCACCCATGCTCTTTGGAGTTTTGTGGCAGTGGATTAGTGCAGGTTATCTAGAGCAAAAATGGATCTGGGGTGTCAAAGATGCTGGAGGGCACCAGCATGATGAGTGGAGGGGACAGCATTTTGTCCCTTCTCCTTTGCTGCTCCAGATCAGTCAGTCACCAGCTCAAGCTTCAGTCTGTGTCCTCCACACACAGTGGCGAAAACACCACGACAATCCACATGAACTTGGCAGGCAAGAAGCCCAGCCCTGCCTGGGGCCGGTGAAGGACCACAACAGCTTCAGGGTAAAGCGCAAGCGGCGGAGGCCAGTGAAGACGGAGCTGCCATCGCTGGTGCAGTGTGGAGACAGCCGTGAGGAAGGTACTCGGGGCACGGCACCCTGTCCTTGCGGGGTCAGGCTGCAGTGGCTCCTCACGCAGTGGCTTCCTGCAGCGGGTTGGGATCCAAACCAGAGCTACAGTGTGGTGCTGAGCTGCCCTTGCCAGGTCAGCAGATGTGTATGTGCACAGATGTGGCCTGTTTCCTCAAGGCTCATGTTTTCCTCACAGGTTACCTTGAGAAGAAACCCAAGAACAGCTTTCGGGATTTCATTCCAGTGGTGCTGAGCAGCCGGACGCGCAGCCAGTCGGGTGAGTGAGTGCCAGGGACACGGGTAGGAGGCTTGCGTGGACTGTGAGTGTTTCCCTTTTCACGTGGTCTTGGCTCTGTCTTTTGCCCTGCCTTGCAGGGTTGTTCTTGTAGATACTCTTGGCTTCTTTGTCAGCTAGAAATCCCCCATGTTTTGCAGGAAGCAATGCTGGCTCTTCTGCTGGTGTGACGGGAGAGTGTGATGTGACTGGTCAGGAGGTTCTACCGTTGCTGGAGGAGGATCAGGAAGACGAAGAGGAGGAGGAGGAAGAGGAGGAGGAAGAGGAAGAGGAGGAGGAGACATCTTTGAAACGTCGCAAGCTGCGAAAATCCCACAGGACAACTGGCTACCACAGCCGCAGGGACAGGGACAGGTCTGTGTCCGGGAGGAGCAGCTGTCACACAAGGAGGACCCGGGACCTGCCATGGAGAGTGGAATCCCCCAGGCAGCTGTGGGAGCCCAACGAGGAGGAGGAGGATGATGACAGCCATGTCAAAAGGAAGAAAAGGAGACGACAGAAAAGTCGGAAGTACCAGACGGGGGAATATTTGACGGAGCGAGAGGAGGAGCGGGTTGGTTACTCCCACAGGAGGCGGAAATCCAAAGCAGGTACAATCTGGAGAGGGGTTTCTGGTACCAGGTTGGGGACAAATGGGGATTTCTCATTCGGTTGGGATTTTGGGTGTTTTTTATTGTGTGTGAGATTTTTTTGGTGTTTTTTGCTGTTTTGGTTTATTTCTGTAATGATGAAACTCCGTTGTTATTAGTGGCTTGATGTACACAGCGTGGGCAGCAGGCTTCAACTGACCAGCTCTTCTTTCCAAAATACTTACAGTAAACTTTGGAGTAGGAAAAGCAGCCTTATGTGACTAACTAGATACTGGTCTTACCCTCAGATAAAGACAGAGGGCGTGGGAAAATGAGTATCAGATGAGGTAGTGCAGAGAAGTATTTCTGGACAAGCACAGGCCCCTGGGAGCAGTGTTCAGCTGGCTATAGGAGAGTGGAGCCACTACAATTTAGCTGGGCATCTTTATGCTCTGTGTCCCTTTATTAAGGCAACTTGCAAGCTTGCACCAGGGAGCACAAGGGCAAGAGGATTAACAAAGCTGGAGTGTCTGCAGGTGACAGAGACACCCCCCCAGCCCACCCCCACTGTGGTTCATGTCTTCAGCTTTGCTGGGAGGAGGATGCAGTGCCCCTGCCAGCATCCTGCTCGCTACTCTACCAGCACTGCCCAGCCCATGCAGTCACATCAAGCCTGTGACCTGCATTTCCCTAAGGTTTAGCAGTCTCTGCAGTCCCTTCTCTCTGTCTGGATGAGAATTTGAGGCAGGAGCATGTTTGAGGCTGTCGGACGTAAGGCTGGGGCTCATCCAGCAGCACACGGTGTCTCGGGGTGTGCTGACGGCTGGTAGCTTGTAGCTGTGTCCAGGGGTCCCACAGGTAACTTCTTCCAGGATTGCAGGAGTGTGCCTGAGCCACCAGCTTGGGGGAAGCAGTTCTGCCAGCTCTCCATAGGCTTGGGCCTTTCTCTTGGAGGTGCTGTAGTGCGTACCAACCTGTTGCCTTATGCCACACCAGTGGTCAGATTGACAGTCCTCAGGAGACGCTGAGATACTCTGAGGTACTGTGAGAAGTCATATAGATGGCTGCTGCACTTCTGCCAGCTGATGGCTCAAGCTCTGCTTCTGCTCTGGCACAGTTTTACGCTATTGCTGCAGTATGTTGTGTCTGGGTGCCCCTGTGAGACCAGGAGCAAAGTTTCTGATGGGCTTCCTGGCATCTTTGCAATTCATGGGTGCTCTCAGGCTGGCCTCTGCTGGCATCTGTTCCAAACAGAGCCTGAGAAGGAGGTTTGGGTGCAGCAGCATTGAGGACGGTTTTCCCCAGTAGCTTTACCACACATCTTAAGAGTGTCTGTCTTGTGTCCAGAAGCCAGTTTCCCCTCAGGGACTGCTTGCTCGCCCCTCAGATGGGTAAGCTTCTGTATTTTGGATTCAGAAGTTGTGGCCTAAAGCCATCACTGGCTTTGTAGATGAGGACCTGGGCACTGTGAGTGGGCTGGCAGCCAGAGGAGGGACGGGTCCAGCCCATGTGTTTGCAGAGTGCTTTGTCCTAGCTGAAGAATCTGCATCATCTTTGGGTACAAGCTGCAGCGATCTGCTGGATAGTTTCATACTGGGTTCCCAGTCAGACCTAAGCTGTGGTCAGTTGTGTGTGAGCCCCAGCTCTAGGTAGGCTTGACCTTTTTGAAACCAGGACACCATCTGCCAGTGGGTGTCTTGTGTCCATGCAGAGTCCATCCCTGGTGGGGAGAACCTGTATGTTCACTCTGCTTCCACTTACTGCCGTGCCTCTGCCATGGGTCTGGGCCTCTGGATGTGCAGCCTGCCAAGATCAGCAGTTTGTTCTGCCTGGCAGCCTTTGGTGGTGCTGCACCTCCAGAAGCTCCTCATTCCTATTTCTCCTCTAGAGTTTAGGTACCAGAAGCAGAAGGAGTCTGTAAAGGGTAAAGGCACAGAGCTACGGCTGAGGAGCAGGCTTTCCCCATCACCCCGAAAATCTCAAGGGTGCCCAGACTTTCGGAATGGCTTCTTCCTGGAGCACTCTGACAGCTCTCCTGCCCAAGAAGAACTGGAGAAACCATCAGGAAAACGCAAATGTAAAACTAAACACCTGGCAGGGATCTGTGATGAGGGGAAGGTATGGCTTGGACTGATGAGGGGAGCACACATGGGGAGAAGAGAGAAGGGACTCCTGTTAGTAAGCCAAGGAGTCGCATTCCTTTCTTTTCCAGGGGAAAGGCTCTTGGAATCAGCCAAAAATCCACTCTCTGAAGAAGTCCCAGGACTTGTGGACTCTTTGCAAGTCCCGTCGGGTCAGCCCAGGGAGTTCTCCGGAGCTGCCCCCAGTCCAGAGCATTCCTCCTGGAGCTCGGCGGCTGATTGTGAACAAAAACGCAGGGGAGACCCTTCTGCAGCGAGCAGCTCGCCTGGGCTACAAGGTGAATTTTGGTGCCCTCTGTTCCCTGTGCTGCCCTGTCTGGGTTCATGTGTAACCAGGCCCTCAACAACTCTTGCTCCTGTAGGACGTGGTGCTGTACTGCCTGCAGAAGAAAAGCAGCGACGTGAACCATCGTGACAATGCTGGCTACACAGCGCTGCACGAAGCCTGTGCGCGAGGCTGGATTGACATCCTCCACATCCTGCTCGAGCACGGTGCCAACGTGAACTGCAGTGCGCAGGATGGCACCAGGCAAGGCACTGAGAGGGGAGCACCTGGGGAAGCCCTGGGGAAGTCAGGGCAGGGAGCAGGTTGTATTTTCAGGATGTGCTGTTGGTCATCACTAGATTCGTGTTAACCCAAAACAGCATTTGCTTTGCAAACTCTGCCTTTCTCTTTTCCTATCAATGCTTCTGTCCTTGTAGGCCTGTCCACGATGCAGTAGCAAATGACAACCTGGAAACCATGTGGCTTCTACTCTCCTATGGTGCTGATCCCACTCTGGCCACTTACTCTGGGCAGACAGCTGTGAAGCTTGCCACCAGCGAGGTGATGAAGCGCTTCCTCTGCGGTAGGTGCAAAGCCCAGTGGTGGCAGTGCTTCCACCCTTCCCGTGTGGCAGCACATGGGACCAGTTGTGGGTGTCAGAGGGTTTAGAAGCGCTTGAGTAGCAAGTGACTGACTAATTTGAGCTCTGTCCTGTCGTGTGTTTGTGTGTTTGCCACCCAAACTTTAATTACAGGATTGTGTACTGTTTTCCAACTAAGGTAAAAGCCACTTTCAGTCTTCAGTGTGCAAGGAGATAGCAATTCTGTGGTCACACAACTAAAGACAGTGCTGTGCATGAGGCTTGGAGTCACTGTTCCACAGTTCCTGGTTCTGTTGCATAACCTAAGTAACAGGGTTTTGCTGCCAAGTAACAGTGCCTTCTACTCAGCTATGCCCAAGTGCTGCCTACCTTCCCTTGTCAGAAGGGACCACTTGGAATCCCTGTGGCAGAGAGTGAGGCCTACCTGCTTGCTGCTCTCTGTGTAGAGGTGAGATGAGTGTTGACTTCTACACAACCACCAGGAAAAATCTTGTTTCCAGCTGTCTGTCTGAGCTCCTTCAGGCTTGAATACGTGTGCAGGTGCTGGAGATGTCATTTTGAACTCAAGGCCACCCTAAGAACCCTTCTTTCCAACACATTGGGTGTTGTCAGTTGTTTTCCCTTTTCAGCTTCTATTTCATGTTCTCAGGCTGGGGCCACATTGTTCTGAGTGAGGGTACTCTTCCTGCAAGTTGTGGTTTAGCTTTTGCCATAATCCCTAACTGCAGACGAGGGAAGAGCAGCAGAGGTGAAGGGTGTAACCCAGGATCATTGGATGTGCATGCCAGTCTCATGCTTTGTTCAGTAGATAACCATTAACCCTCTCAATCTTCTCTAGATTACCTTTTGGATCTCCAGGGGCGCACGGATGGGGATCCTCGCACAGCGTGGGACTTCTACAGTAGCTCTGTACTAGGTGAGTTCAGTCTGTGCCATTTCGTGTATAGCAGCAGAGCAGAGAGATGTAATGCCAGGTAGCAACCCCTCATTCGCTTGAGCATGTGTCCCTCCCAGCTCACAGCCTTGACAGAGATCTTGCCATAATGTTACATACTGGGAGTTGCTCCTGAAAGGGACTTTTTCTTTGGGAAGCTGCATGTGTGGTTCCCTCCTGTGGGCTGAGCATGGTGTGCAAGACTGGACTCAGGTGCTGCTGCTGATTCCTAAGGGTCTCTGGGTATCGATCCCAGAACATGTTATTCTTGTAGCACTTCTTGTTGCTCCCCTGCTAACCAATCATAAAAGACAAATCCAATGCACACACAGGACATACTTATTCCTTTGAGGTGTTAGAAGTCTTGAACTTCTTCCAGGTTCCCTTTCCTCTGCTCTGGAGGGATGGCATTTGGCCGGGCCAGGTCCTCTGTTTACAGTGCCAGGCATTTCCCAGGGAAGGCAAGACCTGTGCCTTCTGCTGTCACTTCCTGAAAGTTGTGGTTACCAGCTTAGAAGTTCTCTCAGAACAACATAGGCACAAGGTCCACAGATCTCTCATGGTGTTCCTCCAGTTCCCCCAGGGCCCATGAATGAAGATGTTCTGGATGTAGCTGTGGGGCTGTGGCAGACTGCAGAGTCCTTCCTAACCACTTCAGAGGCAGTAGGTCAGGATTCTCAGGCCCTTTGTAAAGGCTTGGGTTATTTACACTGGCAAGCTAAAAGGCTCTTGGTTTTAGCTGCTCACCTGTGTCATTTCCAACATCCTTCTAGAAGCTCAGAAAAATCAGATGATACCTCTGGAAGGATGTCCTTGCTTCTTCTTGGAGGACCCTGATGTCTCTTCCTTTCAGAACAGAAGGAATTCTGTACTACTGTTGTTTGTAGGCTTTTGCACCTCAGGTGTGCCAAGGAAACAGTTCAAGCTGCAGCCTCCTTCCTCTGAATTTCTCACTCTAGAAGCTATCTCAGTCCTTTCAGAGGAAGCCTCTTCACCATAAGAAAAAAAGCTGTTCTGTGACTGTAATATTTTAGAAGATACTTCCCTTTTTGATTGATCACTGATTCCCACTTGAATTTCTCTGATAAAGAAGGAAGGATAATTGTGTGCGGTTTTGTGGGCAGGAGAGTTTGGCTCCCTTTGGTTACCACAACATGCTGAGTTCTTGGTTACCCAGAGAGTTTATGTGCTTGAGTTCTAGCATCTGCTTATCTCCCACTTCTTTCCTCTTGAAGATCCTAGCATGGGATTGCAGAGACTGCATACCCTTTAGAAGACCCACTGCTGCATGCAAGTGATTTAGAAATGTGCCGCGTTGTTTTTTGTATACCCTGATGCCTGAAGTGAAACGGGTGGATCTTGGAAGAGCAAGTTCAAATTAGCTGCTTCTTTCAGTTCTTTCATTTCCATATCCCTTGGCTTGTATTGAAAAATCTTATCTTGTATCTTGTCTTCCCACATTTCTGTCCTTCACCCCTGGAAGCAAAAAGAAAGGTTACTTTTCAGTAAGCACACTGTCACTTCTTGGTGTTTCTTGGGGGATGGATCCCTTTCCACCAGATGAAGCACAAAGCATTGCATGTCCCTTCATGTGGAGGAAAACTCCCAGGCTGCAGCTCCAATCCGTTGCTATTCTTTGAGGCAGGAATATTGTCTACATGTTCCTTTAGATCTGCAAATCTCGGGGGGCCAAGAGATAGAGGGAAGTCATGGTGTGGGATCTCTGAGGTCTGTGTGTGGTAAAGTCATCAGTGTCTTGCACTTGGTGATGCTTTAGCTCGACACCAAGCCCTGCTCCAGGGTTTTCTTCTACACCTGGGACTAGCATTTTTGTGCCTGATTGTCTCCCTGCTCCTGGCAGTGGTACAGGATGTTCCTGTTCTTGTCCCAGCCTTCTAAGAGAGAGGACTGAGTGAGGAGAGTGTTCAGGATAGACACTGAACCGCACTGTTGCCACGTCTTTGCATTTATATTCTTTCTTCCTGGGTTGCTCAAGGGATGTGAGGCTTTTCAGTGATGGCCTCTAAGCTTTGCCAGCAGTGACATTGCACCGAGATTCCTGTCACTTAGTTTTGGCCTGGTCTACAGGAAGCTTTGACAATTCGAGCCCCTTTTTTTTTCCGGTTTCGTAGGGATTTATTTTTTTTTCTCCCGGGCAGACTAAGAAATAATTTTTTTTTTTTCCTGAGACCCTGTTGGAGCCTGTCTCCTGTTTCTGAGTAAAATGACATTCTTGCTGGGGGCTGCATTCGTTTGTAGAGTGTGGTGTGTGGAGCTTTCTCATGCGTGGTGTTGAACTATGGCATGATTGGGTTATTTGCTGGTTACTACCAGCACATTTGGTCTTCCTTCTCTGTGTAGAACGTAATCTCTATTTAGTGGGAAGTTTTTGGAGTTATCCTGTATTATCTCAGCAGGACAAAACCACTCTGCAAAGCCATGACTATTCATACCTCTTAATAAAATCCAGGCAGCAAGCTATTTTTCGACAGATGCTTTTCAGATTGATGAATAGTAAATTTAACTGTCTTCAAATGGTTTATGGATCAAGTGTGCAGTTCTCCATCTCCTATGAAGCAAATCCTGCTGGAGCTCACACGCTCCTGGGACAGCCAGCTTTAAGCCAGAAATCTGTGGGACTGAGTCTCTGAAGTCATGCTTATTGATGTTGGGTTGTATTGGTCTCTACGTTTGTGCATGGTTTGGTGGCACAGCCTTGCTGTCTGTATTTAGGCACCGCTGCTGACACACCGCTGTAGAGGAGCCCCTGGGACTTTGCTCTTAGAGCTGCTGGGATGTTGTGGACATGGGACAGTGGTGGTAGCCAGTGCAGCTGTGCAGAGCTGTTCCCTAAGGAGTGATGAGCACCGGCTGATGTGAAACTGTGAGAGATGCTGATGTCTATTTTGCTTGTTGCAGAGGGGAAGGATAGCATCGGATGTGATCTTCTGCTCAACCCTCCGGGAAGTTCAGACCAGGAGGAAGAAGACCAAGATGCAGACAACTTCCTCTTTGAGTTCTCAGACAAGCCACTGCTTCCCAGCTATAACCTCCAAGTGTCGGTCTCTCGGGGGTGAGTATCTTCCTGGAGCAGAGCATGTGGGTGACATTAATGCTAGGGTGAAGTCGGAGCTCACAGAACAGAGCCCTTGAGCTTGAGAAGATAGTGGCAATACAAGGAAGCCTTAGGCTATCTTCCAGGTGCAGATGACTTGAGTTACTTATATATGGAAAATTCACACCTGCCTGAGAAGCTTTGGGAGCCCAAGCTGACTGCATGCTAAGGAGACAGGCCCGATAGAGCACACTTGTGTCCTGTAGATCTCAAAGCACCCCTCCAAAGGAGGACATGACTTATCCCTGTTTGGCAGGTAGAAACACGGAGGGATGAAGCTATTGCAGCTTCCCCAGGAGGAGAAAATTGCTGCTGCTGGGGCAGAAACCCAGCTGTGGCATGACAGCTCCCTGTCATGAGACGTCTCAAAATGAAGTATTGCATAGACTCTTTGTTCAGAAAAATGTGAAGGTAGAAATCACACTTTATAAGCCCCAAGTCAGAGAAGCAAGTGCAAGATGTAGGGTAAGATGGAATTTGTTCGGCAAATTCTGAGAGGTCCACCTCTGAGGAGGTCACCTTGGCCTCTTCTTGCAGTCAGCAAAGAGCTCATAGCAGGATTTATCCAGATGAGGGCAGGAGCGAGCGTCAGGCTGAGATGAACGGCTGGCTGTGACTGATGAGCTCCCCAGTGTCCGTGGAGGAGCCTGGGGGGAGGAGGCTCACTTGGATGGGCCCTCCTGCAAGTATGGATGTGCTGAGAGAAAAACGTGTTCCCCCAAAGGGCGCTCAGGCATTGGAACAGGCCGCCCAGGGCAGTGCTGGAGTCACTGGCCCTGGCAGCGTCCACACACTGTGTAGACAAGGCCCTCAGTGACGTGGGATAGTGGTGGCTCTGGCAGTGCTGGGCAGCGGTTGGACCTGATGATCTTAGAGGTCTTTTCCAGCCCGGCTGACTCTGGTTATATGGTTCTGTGAAGTGTGACCTGCAGAGCAGCGCTCAAAGCCGGGTGTGCGGAGGGGAGGGCCAGCGTGCTGCGGGTGGGCGGCGGTGCAGTGGGCAGCGTTCCCGCAGACCCCGGTGGCCCTAACCTGCCATCCTCTCACCATCCTGCAGGCCCTGCAACTGGTTCCTCTTCTCCGACGTGCTCAAGCGGCTGAAGCTGTCCTCCCGCATCTTCCAGGCCCGCTTCCCGCACTTTGAGATTGCCACGCTGCCCAAGGCTGAGTTCCAGCGGCAGGTCTCTCTCAGTCAGGTGCTGGTGCAGGAGGAGGTGCAGGAGAGCCCCGAGCCGGTGCAGGGCTCTGCAGAGACAGTGGAGCTGGTACACTATGAGCCCGAGCTACTGCAGCTCCTGGGTTCGGTGGTGGAGTATCAGGCCTGGAGCAGCTGACGGAAACGGCTCGCTCCCTGCATCACGAGGCAATAAGGACCAACGGGAAGCGGCCCTCTCAGCGCCAGCAGCAGGGACCTGGGTCTTTGGCCAGCCAGTCCTCTCCTCGAGGCTCTCCTCCAACTGGGGAGACAGGACCCTTGCCTCCAAGGACTTGCCCAGATCCCTTTGTCACGAGCAGCAGCGGTTGCAGCTGTCAGCCCCATCCAGTTGCTGTGGGCAATGAAGCCCTCTCTGTGGGGCCACGTGAGCCAGAGCTCTTGGGGCAGCAACAGCTCTGGCTCCCCCAACACAAGAGGTGGAGGGTGCCCTGCCTGACCCGGTGGAACTGGGCCTCTCTGTTTGACCTCCCCCTCCCAACGTCTTCCATAGTATTTATTTAATTAGTATTTAATTTGTAAATGTTTCCTTTGTTTTCTGCTGAGTCTGTATCACTGTGATAGTGAGCTCCGAGCTAGGGGTGAGGGCTTTCTCCAGCCCCTGTCTGGCACACTCTGAGGCCAGCGCTCCCCTGGACCTGAGCTGCAGGCCCGGGGGGTCGTGGGCCTCCAGGGACGGGCTCCTTGATCCTTGGGCGAGAGCCTGGGAACAGTCACTGCCCTTAGCTTTGGAGCCAGCCCCGCTGCTCCATCCTCTCACCAGGCTCCTTCCTCCATCTCATTTGTTTTGTGCTGCTGCTCCCGCTCCCTGGCAGCCGTCACACCCACACTCCCCGGCAGCTTCTTGCCATGGGGGCTCTGGCCACTGCAGAAGCCCCCTCAGTGCCCGCTGCGGTGCCTGCTCAGCCTTGGCCTGCTCCCTGCTCCCCTCCAGTGTCACCACGAGCAGTTCTCTGGGAGGGAGCGGGCAAGGCGCCGCGCCGCTCCCGGGAGATGGTACAGTTTTATTGTACAGGTGCTAACAGGACTGAGGACGAGACAATCTTGCTTTCTCTGGCTCTCCTCTGCTCCGCAGTGGGAGCATTGGGTGGGCTTTTTCTGCTGGTTCATTTTTCCTTTGTGTTGTGTTTGTTCCTGGCCAGGGCAGGTGTTACCCCTTCTTTTCCCTTGGAATCCAGCCGCCAGCCTCCCCTCCTGATGGCCTGGCAGCACCTTGTGTAAGCCAAGGGTTTTTTTGCCTTTGGGTGTGTACTCTGGTTGCTCTTTCTGATTTCTGTTTTATTATAAACAGCAACAGGCTGTGTTGTCAAAAACACTGATGTACAGAAAAAAAAACCTGCATCAGGACACCGGCTCCTGCTTTTTCTTCCTTTTTCCCTGTCCCATGCCTGCCGCAGGCAGCTTTCCCTGCAGAATGGCGTGAGCCAATGGGGCAGTGAGGGAGGATGGGAATGCTGCCAGCCTAGAGCAGGCACAGGCGGTGACAGGGCACAAGCAGCTTGGAAAGAGCTGTAATAGGGTGCACCCTGCCTACACCCAGCTTTCTCCTGAGAGGGACCAGGCAGAGGCGAGCACTGCGGGGATGGGGATCTGGTTTATTGGTCTGGGAACGTGTCCACAGCGAGTGCAGGCTGCAGCACGATGGCCTCAGTGCAGCTCCCTCGGGTGTGTTGTTGGCAGTGGGGCTCTACTCCTGCACTTTCGGGCTGAGGCAGGAGCAGCGGAAAGCCCTGCGCAGAGCCGTCAGCACCCTTCTGAAGCGAGATGGTCGTCGCCGTTGGGCTGCGCCTGTGTCCGGGAGGGTGGCGATGCCTGTGGGGAAAGGAGAGCTGTAGGCATGGGGCTGGGCAAGCTCCTGCTGCCACCCACCACCGAGGGCTTCCCCCAGGGACTTTCCACTGGAGGCTTTCAGCCCTCGCCCAGGGAGGGGAGGACGGGCACAGCCGAACTCCTGTGCACGCTGCTCCCGGCCTAGCCTTGGTGCCACTTGACTCAGGGACGCACCTGGCTCATCCTTGGTGTCCTGAACACTGGCGGGTGGCATTGCCAGTTCATCTCGTGTAATGGCGGGGAGGCAATGGCTGTGCTGGCCTCCCCCTGATGCTTTTTTGGTGCTCTCCTCACCTTGCGCCTGAATAAGACCTGCATAGCTCTGTTGGTTACTGTGACCCTCTGTGAGGCAGGTGCCTCTCTCTGGGCCTGTGCTGTTGTCTGCTGCTCATCCATGCTGGGCTCTTCCTGAGGTTCTGCTTTTCTGCGTAGAACCAACTCACAGGCAGTGGGGCTGAGCAGGGCAAATGCCTCTGCTTTTGCCCCTGCTCAAAAAAGCCAAGGGAGGCTGATGCCGGTGCCTCCTCCTGCTCTTGTGCCACAGCAGCTAGAGGTGCGCGGTGCTGTTCTTCCTCAGCAGCTCAGCCAGGGTAGGAGCTGCTGACTCGGTGTCTGTGGGACCAGCTGTGGCAGGAGACACACTCTGCAGGTGTCCGGCTGCCCCTCCTGCTGCATCCGTGCCCCCGCTGCTGGGGGAGATGGACTCGTCCTGGGGACCCATGTGGGGGGGCCTGGAAAAGCTCTGGCTGTGAGGGGCTGACCAAGTTATTATATATGATGATAATAAGCACTGGGGACAGCAAGTTTTCAATGTCCTCAACAAATTTTTCTCATCCTCTCTCAAGTCCTCTGGCTCCTGTAAACACACAGCAGAACATCAGGAGCTGACAGCTCTCCCCAGGCCTGTCTCTCTCAGGGCTGCAGGTAGCTGTGTGGGTGCTGTGCCGTGGGCTGCCTTCTCCCCTGCTGCCCTGTGACCAGTGCCAGGGCTGGGTGATGCAGTGGCCCATCACCTGGGCTCTGGGGCTGCTGCTGGTGGCTGCTCACTGGAGAGGTCCCTCACGGGCTGCTCTTCCGTGCTGCTTCAGTGGAGGGGTGCAGGACAGGAGAGCAAAACCACAGGCAGGGGAGAGGGAATGTGAGAGGGATGGCACAGGGAGCACCAGCAATGTCCCTGGCACACGCGCTTTGGGATCTGGGCTGCTTCCAGCACTTTGGGATCACTGGTGCCGGCCACATGCATGGCACTCACCTGCTGCAGAGATTTCTGATCCAAAGGAGAAGCTGCTGTTGCTTCTTCATATTCTTCCCCCTCCTGGGGACCCATGGGAGGGGCCTGGCAGCGATCTAGGACCAAGACTTTGATCCAGATGTTGCAGTTGGTAACATCCTGCAACTGGGACAGCTGTTTGTCCTCTTCCCATTCTTGGTCCTTCTCCTCCTCTTCCTTCTAAGTCCCGAGTTCCTCCTGCAATCACACAACTGGGATGCAAGGGATGAGTGTGCTGCAGCTCAGCGGCTGTCCGTACGCAGAGGGAGGGTCATCCCCCGCTGCTGTCCCATCCTTTCCTTGGCACTCACCTGCCTGTGTCTGAGCACCCCTCTCTGTCTCAGGGAGGAACCCTGCCCCTCACTGTCCTGCAGCTGGAGCTCCCTTTCCTCAGGGCCGTCCAGCAGCCCACTCAGGCTGGGTCTCCTCTGCCTGTCAAGCTTTGGCCTGCTGCGGGCCGTACTGCTCCTCTCCTGCTCCTTCAGGGGCTCAGTCATGGGGAGCACCATGAATCTCTCTCCCACACTCAGCCCCAGAGAGGCACCTGCCTCCTGCACCTCAGGATCCCTGGTGCCAGCCACATGTGCCTTGGTTATCAGGTGCTGGGGGAGAAGCAGCAGCACCTCCTTTGTCTGGTCCTGGGGCAAGGTGCGGTGTCCCAGCCTCTGCCCCAGGGATCTCTGTGAAGCTGCATCTTCCCCTTCGTGCACTGCTGGGGAGGCAATGGTTCTGTTGTGCTCCCCCTGAGGCTTGGCAGCCACAGGAGACTCAACTGCTGCAGGTGGCATTGCCACAATCGCCAAATGCAGGTTTTTGGTTGTGCCCTTCTGTTCCACAGGCCTCTTCTTGGTTTCCGGGACTGCAGCCACAGGTAGAGCCAGAGACTTCCTCTCTTTGCTCATGGCTGTGGCCTCCAAAGCGGCATCCATTGCTCTGGTCGTCTGCGGGGCAGGTGCCCTTCTTTGTCCCTGTGCTGCTGCCTCCTGCTTGCCAGAGCGATGGGGACCTCGTGCCGGGGCAATAGGAGGGAGAGGTGCCCGGTGCTTCCCAGGAGCTCTGGGCAGGGAGCTGCTTTTTGGCTGCTCTGAAGTCTTGATGCGGGGCAGCGGGGACAGACACTGAGGAAGCACCTTCTGCTGCAGCCCCAGCAACTTGCTCTTGAGGCTGCCCATCCTGCCTGCTGCTGACAGGGGCTCTGCCGCTTGCCCAGCGCTCCTCAGTGTGTGCTGAGTGGCTGGGGCCTTGCTGCTGTTGGCTGCACGGACGGTGCCTCTTCTTGTTGGTGTCCCTGCAGCCCTGCTGTGTGCTGGCTCCTGCCGTGCCACTGGCTGCTGGCGGGGTCCCTGGCTCCCTGTCACAGGTAGCAGCCTGCAGCACCTGCTGACAGCTCCCTCTGACTGAAGTGGTGGCTGGGCTGCCATTGTCACCAATGGTGGCAGACAGAGTGTCTGCTCCTGTGTTGTCATGCTGGTTAGGGACCCAAGCCCACATCTCCCACAGCCCAGTGCTGGCAGGGGCAGGGTAGGGGCTGGCAGGTGGAATGCCACCTGCCACAGCTCCTGCTGGATTGGTGTGCACCGCTAACAAATCCCAAGTTAGATCTGTTGGAGGCTAGTGTGCCTATAACATGCTCCTGACATCATTATACCTCTGGGTTCAGCACCTCCTGTGACTGGCTCTTCCCACCCAGTTCAGCCTGTGCTTTCCAAACATGCACAAGTACACCTCCTCCATAGCTCCCATAGTTTAGTTCCTTATCTCTGGCCTTAGCAACTCCTAGCCTCACTCCTTATTCTCACATCCGTCTCATTCTGGTCACTGGGCTGCCGCACGCACTGGGCTTCAAAAGCCAGCTGACGTGGGAGCCAGTGCATCACACAGTTTCATCCCATCCGGATGCGCTCTTCCTACTTGGCCAACACGTGCTGCCAAGAGCCAGCAGGATTGCAAGCTCAGCAGCTGGGAAGTGCTGCAAGGAAAGAGGTTGCTTCACAAGCTTCTCTGCTACCTACAGGAAGGAAAACCTGGCAACAGCATGCAGCATACTTCCCCCTTTCAAAGCCAGCAATGCACAGCTACAGGACAAAGTTATTTAACTTAGAACAGTCTGACTTTATTGGTGCAAACATCAGAACTGTAGGTGACTGGAAATATTCTCATGTACTCAGAGGAGAGTGTCTGAGGTGAAGGGGTGCACACAGACAGTGGCCCCCCCTGCCCGACTCACACCTATTTTGGTGTTTCTTTTCCAGAGTTTAGTCTTCGTGGATGTTGAAAAGCTTTGCTACTTCATTGAGATCATCGTGCTCCTCCCCATCTTTGATGATCTGATGGAAGGAAGAACACATTAAAACCTGCACATACTTTCAAGTACCAGTGCTGCAAGGCTGTACCTGTCACCCATGAACACAATGAATTCCTTAGATCTCTGAAGCTCTGCTGATG